TTGTTAAAAGGACTCTTTGTTCGTGAACAGCTCATGTTCGGCTCGTTAAACAAACGAGTCGAACACGAACATACTTTTTGAGCTCGAAATATAAACGTGCCTGGCTCAGCTCGTGCTCGGCTCTCGGCGAAAAAGTTTTTCTTGAAAGAAAAGAGGCTTGTTGATTGGAATTTTCAGCCTTCCAGAATTATATGATGGGCAATCCACAGGTAAGTGTCCGGTTGATGGGTAACCTACGGATGAACACATATAAATTAAGTGACACGTAAACATGTAAGAATTAAGTAAACCTCTAAAAATATAAAAAGTGTATGATATGTATGTAAATATAAAAATGCATTCGAGTTGAGTGTTATGTATGTAAATCTCACCTCTTTTGAGATGGCTTGCAGAAAGCTGTTTGGTCTAGAGGTCGACGGTCAATGAGGCATTGTATTCTGCTCTCATAGAGAACGTAAAGGAGGGAATGATAGAAACAACTCCCGATCATAAGAGCGTAAGCTTCAATGCAGCGAAGATTTTAAGGCGGAGGTGTTTGAAGATCATAAGCAAAGGAAGATAATGGCGATGATGCAATCAAAATTCTTTTTGAAAAAAAAAATAATTTAAAGTGAGTCCCACCGAAATACATTCTGACCGTATATTGTCGTGATCTACGGTCAGGATCTGACACCGCATGCATCTCTGTATGCAGTGTATGTATGCAATAATTTTTCGAGGAGAAAGGGTAATTCGAAAAAGTAGGAAAGGTGAGTGCAGAAGGAAACTAACGGTAGTTTCAACTAATTCCAAGTTAAGATTTTGAAGCTGACGTTGGCAATCAAATATTTTAGGAGACCGTAGTTACTAATTGTTCTTTTAGTTGGGACTTCTGGAGACAGGTGGTGATGGCAGCTGCAGAGGGGATGTTAGTGTCAAGCAAGGATAGAGAAAAGGAACTCAGCCTTGACACCAACAAGCTTAGCTATGAGGTATTCTAGATTCTTGGGAGCAAGTTTCTATTCGGATACGTTGAAGCTCACCAGTTATGTGTTCCGAAATTTCCGCCAAGAAATCCATCAGAGCGCCAGTTCCTCTTGCATTTTTTGAGCAGTGTTTCTCTTAAGAAATTTTGTTTATCGGCGTTGCTCTTCTTTTTATTGACGACACGATTTACACTCGTCGTATTTTTTAGAATTTTGAATCTAGATATGCTCAGTAGCCGTGCCCAAAAAAAAGAACACGAGAGACGGACAGTGCCCAAAGAAAAGAACGCGAGAGACGGAGAGAAAGAGTGAGAGAAAGAACAGAAGATAAGGACTTCCCCCGGCGGGGAAATGTGGTGTTTCTGGGTTCATGGACTCATTTTATTCCATAAATTTGGAGGTTAAAATAAGGGGTGCCCCCAAAAGATTCTTTTTTTATGTCATGAAGCCCTCTTGTCTATACAAGATAAGAGGGGCAAAAAGTATACAAAAATTACATACTTGGTTAAACATTGAAGAGAGAAGCAACTGACATTTCAGTCCTTTTTATTTTGATTGTTGGATCATCTCGATATCGATGCAGACCTTCATATCCATGTTTTTTTTGTCTTTGTCTTGATGACATTCATTACATAAGAAATTAAGTGGCTTATATGTGAATTTCCTGAACATGATGGTTGCTTCAGCATGACTATCCAGCTGGCTAAAGGAGAAAGCTGGTCGGTTGACTGAAATGAGGTTGCCGAGGGAGAGTTTGGGCGGTCGGCTGAAGTGAAGTGATCGAGGGAGATGACTTGGCCTGTTGATTGAGTGAGGTCTCGGACTACTGAATTTTCTCGAGATCCATACATACTATTTTTAGTTAATCAATATAAATATTATTATATCTACGACAATTTGTTTCTAAGAAATTTGATGCTTTACTACAAAAAGAAATTTGAGCGCACGTTTGAAGTTAGAACATTATCAAGTATTTCAATTGTTTTTCAAAATCAAAGATGATGTACCTTTACGAATTAAGAGAAAATCAGATATGCATATTAAATTTCTGCCACTTAATTTTTATAAATTTGGATATCCAACATCTAAACTCATGACATTTTCATCATGCATTGAGACAGATATTTTCCTTTTAGATATTAAAATAAATACATTTGTATGTGACATAAAAAATTTGAGCGCTATAAGTGTAATAATTAAATTTTTTGTGCTAGATATTGATGCGTGCTAGAAAATTTGCAGCGGTAGAGTAATGGATTATTGTCTTAGCGTTGCATGAGGATTCATCACACACTCAAATAAAAATGAATCAAGCTGTGATAACAATAGAAGTTTTTTTACATGAAATACTTGTAGAGGAGAAAAACAACGGGGTCTGACCCAGTTGTAAAAATCAACTATAAGACGTGAAATACTTGTAAAGGAGAAAAAGCACGGGGTCTGACCCAGTTGTAAAAATATTGCCCCACAGGCGGGAAATGGTTACTAGCTTTCCAAGTTACATTACAGATGTCACTTGTCCCACAAACGGGAAATTGTTACTAGCTTTCAAAGTTACAACGTCGACTGACGATGTCTACTCAGCGATGGTTCACGGAGGTCGGCGGTGATCGACGGTATTCGACGACAATCGATGACGGTCGGTGATGGTCAACGGGAGGTCAACAGTGATCGACGACAATCAACGGTGGTCCACATAGGTTAGCAGTGGCTGACTACGATCAACGGTGGTCGGCGGTGGTCGACAGAGGTCAGCGGTGGTTGTCGACGGTCAGTGGTGGTCGACAGCGATCGACGATGGCGAGGATGATCTTGGACTTGAGCTCATTCTTAAAGCCTCAAGTTCTCTCTTAAGCCCCTCTTCATGTGAGGGGTGAGACTCTATTTACAATGTTTTGAGTGCAATTAATGCAAAAATATGAATCATTTTGATCGGACGGTCCAAAGAGCTTCTCTTGATCAGATAACATTTGATGGACATTTGATGACATTTGATGGACATTTGCCTTAACGATGTCGGAATTTAGCAATCTTGGGCTCGTTGGATTCGTCTTTTCGAGACGCTCGATTCAACTATGAACTCGCTAGATTCGACATCTGTTTGACCTTTCAAATGCATCCAGAAATCCTCTAATAGTGGTTTAATGACTTGATCCGGACTTGATTTGACTCGAATTTGAATAACTTTCATATCACTAGGTCTGTCACATCAAGCCGATCAGTTTTACTATAAGTTTGTTGAAATCAGAGCTCCGAAAACCCTCTAATAGTGGTTTCATGACTTGATTCGGACTTGATTTGACTCGGATTTGAATAACTTTCATATCACTAGGTCTGTCTCATCGAGCCGATCAGTTTTACTATAAGTTTGCTGAAATCAGAGCTCCAGATGACTCTTTATCGAAGTTTGAATGTTTCTTGTTCAAAAAATTACACTGAGATTCGTGCTGGCTGATGGAAATTTGTTGGTGGCGTATCAGATATGTATATTACATAACAATTGGGTGGTATGTATGTAAATGCCCCAAATTAAACTAAATAATGTATAACATAAATGCGTCAGCACGTGTCTCAATAAGATGTAACAGATTAAGGGACAGGAAAATACGGTCAAGGATGACCCCGAGAATGAAGACCAAAGTTCCCATCACCGAAAGGGAAAATGACTTGACTGACCAAGCACAAATTCCTTAAGTCGAGACCAGAGTTAGCTAAATGAATTAGCTCCACTCTCGCTCTAACTTTGCTAAACGCCTCATAAGAGCTTGCGAGACGCTTTATTAGGTCAAAGGTTCTCACCACGATGTAGTCCGCGAACACTTTAAATGACCTTTCGTCATGGGGAGAGCTATCAGTCGGATTACATTGATTCATCATATGCCCGACAACATAGTTTCATTTCAGCGACATGAGCTCAGTCTTATACGGGTCGATAGTTGACTGCTGGACCAAAGCAACCGACCGTTTAACTCAAGCTGACTGAGTGAAGTCCGAACGATCTAAGATCAGTAGGAGGATCATTTCTACACTAAAGGCTAATCAATCAATCAAACTCAATTCCCTCATTGTACTGTGCATTATTGTACACACACACTCTCTCTCTCTCTCTCTATCTCATGTTCTACGCCTTATTCCTGGGTTGTAAAATTTGCGTACGTCAGGGGTACGCATCTCTGCGTACATAATAGGGTACATGAGAGTTATACAGAAATTACAAGGGGGTTATAACATGTTGTACCTCCCGTGTAACTCCCGTGTACTCATGGGTAACTTACAAGTATGCCACTCAAGTGATTATAAATATGTATATGTACTCAGAGATTTTTAATGAAAATTCAATTTATTTACTTGCCTTTTCGATTCTTTTAATCCAATGTGGTGAACATAATTATACCTTATCTGATCTCGCATTCATCAAGTTCTTATTAGTTTCTTTTTGTCAACAGTAAGTATATATAATATCATAATTCACGCGTGTATGTTCTAAAAACTATTAGTATAGTCATCAAATTTCATTGAATTATACAAAATTACATTTGCTAGACTTCATCAAGCTCCTATGTTTCCCATTTCACAAACTCAACATTGAGTTGATCTATTAACATATCCGTTCTCTGATAATATTGCTATGGTTTAATGCACCTTTTTTTAATACTGCTTATTCCATTCCATCGGAGCAAATCATCAATTTTGCATTTTCATCATCATCATCATCCATGAATTAATTATTTGCTTAAAGAACCAGCTGATAATTCTCTAACTTGGCAAAACAGTGAATAATGTCAGATGCAAGTGCTGCTTGAAACTTATAAATTTTAGTTTGATTTAGCAAAGCGGGAACATTAAGGTGTGGGAACTAGGGCTGTCAAAAAAGCTCGTTGTTCGCGAACTACTTGTGTTCGGCTTGATCGTTAAATAACTAGCCAAACACAAACAAGCTTTTAAAGCTCAAATTATAAATGAGTCATACACGAACAACTCTTTGTTTGCTTGTGTTTGGCTCGTTTTAGCTCGAAAAAAATAATATATATAATTATTTATATAATAATATATAACATATATTATTTATATAATAATATATTATATATATTTATATCTAAGTTTAAACCATGATATCTCATGTGATAATGTGGTTAGTCCCTTATTTTGTATATATTTTGTCTATGTTCGAATCTCACACTTTACATCTATTTTTTTCAATTTAATTTTAACGAGTCAATTTCGAGCCGAGCACGTACACGAATATTTGAATTGAGCCGAACACGAACACACTGTTCACGAGCCAATTTCGAACACGAACCGATTTTGAACACAAGTTATTTTTAACGAACCGAACACGAGCCAAGCCTGAAGTCGCTCGAGCTCGGCTCGTTTACAAACCTAAGCACCTATGTCCCGCCTCGCTAATTATATAAGATGTACTTATAAAATGGATAATTACAAATATATATAGGTCAGCTATAAAGTATATATATATATAAAGCATTTGCAACTTGCAAGAGCATATTAAAAATGCCCATTTCTTCTTAACATGAATCTGTTTGGGGACAAAAATGCTTGAAATTGACGGCTGCGGTAAACTGATTTATAACTCTTCCTAAATGAAAAATATTCTATAAAATTTGCCAAAACCAACTTATTCAACAGTCTAATGTAAAAGCTGATTGTCGCACATAAAAAAAAAAAAAAAAAATTGACGTCAGTCTAGCGAATGCATATGCAAAAGTAATCGTACGACTAACGAAGGCGAAGGCGGCAGCAGTTTAACTGGTCAACCTTGTCTGCAACCGGGCACGCCGGTCACTTCTGAGTTCCTTTATCCTCATTTTACGAATCGGGACTTTGAATGGATGTGAGGACTTTTACCGCTCTGCTCCCTTTTGTGGATGGGAGAAAGATCGAGGGGAACAAAAACCCTAGTTCCTTTCTTATGCTCTTCTCAGCTCCCGTCGACTGGATTCCTGCGTAAGCTGTATGATTCTCATCATTTTGATGATTTTGAAGCGTTTCTTTGAAGATTCCTGTTGTTTAATGCTCGTAATTTGTTGTTTGAATGAGTTTTGGTGTCAAAATTTTGATTTTTTTTAGAGAGATGGATTGTGGTCAATTTCACTTGACACAGTGTTTTTTACCAGGTGATGTTATTGGCATGACTCTAGCTGCGTCTTCGGAATCTGGTGGTTTGAAAAAGTTGGAAATTTGATGTTTTTCTCATTGAAAACGAAAGGTTGATCTCATCTCCGTATTCGATTCCAATAGCTTGAAAAACACTTTTTTTTTAAGATTTATGCTGAATTTTTATGGAAACTGTTTTTCCCCTTGATAAAGATGAAGGCTTGGCGAATTAATCCTTGTTCAAAACGTTCTTTCTTGTTGCAGGTTTGCGGCATTATTTTTACGAGAGCTAACTTAAATGGGCACTTCTTCTGGTGCTAATTTTCACCAGCAACAATCCCCAAAAATGCTGCCTCCTCGCCAGCGCCCTAGGTCTTCAGGTTTGCAGACCTCCCTCTCTCTCGCTTCATCTGATGCCAATGGATCCCACGACATTCAAGAGCCATTATCAAACTCCGATCAAGCTAATGACTCACCATCCGACAGTACGAGCTCCAGAGAAACATGGCCCATCGAAACTGGCCGCTCTAATTGTTTGATCATAAAAAGCGCTGATAAGGAAGAAGGGGAGAGCAACTTCCCCGAGCCACAGGTCCTACGCCGAATTTCAACCGTAGATAAGCTTTCGCTTCGTGAAGTCGCTCGCGAGAGACTCGATATCGTTTCGGATAGAATGGCGGCAGCCCCTATTGAGCTTTTGGAAGAACTGAAGGCTGAGCTTAGAGTCATCCTCGAAGGAACCGGAGGAGCTCAGCATAGGGAGGAGTTCTTGCGCCTCCAACAGCTGGTTCAAGCTAGAGATGATCTGACATCCAAAACTCTTGTAAGGGCGCATAGAGTGCAGCTGGAGATTCTAGTTTCGATCAACACTGGAATTCTCGCCTTCCTTCACCCAAATGTCAGTCTTGCGCATAGTCGCCTCATTGAGATCTTCCTATACAAGAGGTGCAGGAACATTGCTTGCCAGAGTGCTCTTCCAGCTGATGATTGCTCCTGCGAGGTCTGCACTAGGAGAAATGGTTTCTGCAATCTTTGCATGTGTGTGGTGTGTAACAAGTTTGACTTTGAGGTCAACACATGCCGTTGGATAGGCTGTGATATCTGCGCGCATTGGACTCATACAGATTGTGCTATGCGTGCTGGTCAGATTGGAATGGGACCTTCTGCTAAGAGTATTATGGGGCACAGTGAGATGCTTTTCAGGTGCCCAGCTTGCAATAAGACTTCTGAGTTGTTAGGTTGGGTGAAGGATGTGTTTCAACACTGTGCCCCTGGGTGGGATCAAGAGGGGCTTTTGCGCGAATTAGAATTTGTTTGTAGAATTTTTCGTCTCTGCGAGGATGTGAAAGGAAGAAAGTTGTATTGGAAGTGCTGTGATCTTATAGAAAAGTTAAAGACTGGAGCTTTAGAATCCACATCATGCAGGATGCTATTGCTGGTTTTTCAAGGTAGGTGTTTTCCTCACTAATATATAATGAGTGAATGATTTCCAAACTAGGAAAATTAAAAAGAAAAAAGTTGATATAATGAAGACTGGGGGATATCACTATAAACCTACTTTAGCTTATTTCCTTATTTAATTGCTTATTCTTTTGCACTTGGTTTCTGCTCCGAGTATTAATTATTATAAATTTTACTCCTTTTTGGTTCATCCCATTTTAGTTTTTATGTTACATGTTCCTGCATCAAGGAATCATTATGTGACCTCTTATTCAAATTCTATCATCTTTATAATTAATATTAGAAAAGCTGATTTTTCTCATACTATGGTTTGTGTTGCTATTTTTTAGGTTGATTTTTATCTAATGCTCTGTTGAGTTAAGCACCGGGAATGCGACAATTTATTTGTTATATGCCTCTTATTCAAGGACAAGATTAAATTCCATTCTTGTTTCGATGATTTTTAGGCGCAAATGTTTGATTTTTTCTGAATCTAAGTTCATTCATTTTTACATTTGTTTATATAACTGCTAAAAATATCATTTTTGGTTATTCTATTTGTATTATTGATGCTATATCCGTATCAGCCATTCAAGAAATTAATGGTGAATTGCTTTGTGCATCCAAGAAAATAATATTACTTATGGTAACTCGTGATCCAAACAGCTGTTAACATCATTGCCAATGTGTTTTACTCTGGTTGGTTTCAATAAAGACTTCCAATATTGCTTATGTGGCTTTTTCGGGGCATTTACATACATAGCACACAATTCTTATGTGTTTGCATACCTCACACCTTTGATATTTACACACATAGCAATCACATCTTTAATATCACATAAAAAATAGCACTATTACTATTTTTTAGAAGTGAATAAACAGTTTCATACGAAATTTAAAACACAAAAGTGTTATGCATGTAAACACGAAAGTTTATGTTTGGGCTCAACCTGTTGCGACTGGTGATGGCAGTCAATGGTGTTAGTGGCGGTGGACTGTGGTGAACAATGATGATGATGAGAAAGGTACTTTTGGGGTATAGCCCATGGCGGTAGTAGGTGCCTGATGGAGGATGGTGGTGGCCGTTAGCAGGTGGTGCAGGTGACATGTTGTATTTTGAAATCTTTGAATTTGGCAAATTTGAAATTGCCAAAACTGAACTAAGGAATGAGTTTTAAATTCCTCAAAATTTTACTTTGTATTTAATTTGCGGCCAACCAAACAGCTAAATTTCCAAAAACCTTACATTTAGAATGCACTCACCTCCAGTTAGCTTCGTTATGAAATGCAAAGGGCAACACAACTTAATATATATCTCCATGCTCTGTAAGGTAGCAGTGATAACATAGAGGTTTTTAAAAACCATGTTATATAATAAGGATTTGCAAGCGCCTATTTATTTGTTAAAGTTGAAAATCCTTGGCTCCTTTCATCGTGTTTCTTAGAATCTGTTCATATGTCAATATTTACGCATCATACTGCTAAACTCTATTTTTTCAAAAGTTATAAGTGATTAACGATATGGAAAAAAAGAAAATTTATTTGTTTGTTCTGAAATATGCATCGTCATCTAACAGAGCTCGAGATAGAATCAACAAAGAACACTGAAAATGAAGACCTTGGCTGCGTGATCTCTCCACAGGAAGCCTGCAACCGGATAGCAGACGTGGTCCAGGAGGCCGTGAGGAAGATGGAGATGGTTGCCGAGGAGAAGCTCCAGATGCTCAAGAGGGCACGACTTGCTGTCGAGTCCTGCGACCGCGAGCTTGAGGACAAAGCCCGGGAGGTCACCGAGCTCAAAATGGAGAGACAGAGGAAGAAACAGCAGGTGGAAGAGCTCGAAAGCATCGTGAGGCTCAAGGAGCTTGAGGCCGACATGTTCCAGGACAAGGCAAATCAAGCCCGGCAGGAGGCCGAGAGACTGCAAAGCATTGCCCTCGCAAAAACAGAGAAAGCGGAACAAGATTATGTGAATATGTATCTCAAGCGACGCCTGGTCGAGGCGGAAGCAGAGAAGCAGTATCTATTCGAGAAGATGAAGCTTCAGGAGAGCCAACGAACCATACACGGAAGCGGTGTTGGCTGCAGCGGCATTGGTGGCAGCGGCGATGCTGGTGCTGGTGCTGGTGTTGGTGCTGGTGTGGGCAACGATCCGTCGCAGACATTGATGTTCAACAAAATCCAGGATTTATTGAAGAATGTGTACAATGTTACTCCAAAAACTGAAGGGCAGCAGCCAAAGTGAGCGTGGCCTTATTAGTTCTATCAACCTGTACTATTAGTGTAGATCTTATTGTTTGGTTGTGTCAGCCTTCTGTGTGGCTTTTGATATCAAATCTTAACTTTATTGTGCTTAATCTTTTTCTTAATGTTATTCTTATTGGTCCACTTAAGCGTTTTGTCTTCATTCTAAAGACCAACTGTAGTTGAAATCCATAAGTGCAGTGGAAATGGTTATAAAGGTTTTGAAGTCATCAGAAGAGAGTTATGTGGCAGAAGTAAGACCAACTGTAGTTGTAATTCATTAGTGCAGTGGAAATGGTTATAAAGGTTTTGAAATCATCAGAAGAGAGTTATGTGGCAGAAGCCAAACTTGATTCTTCTGAATTTACAGATCTATCATCTAAACTTCAATTACATATATGCAGTCTTACATTTGCATAAAAACATGCATTTCATTTTTTAAATGTTGAACTAATGCTATTTTTTTATGCGGTATGAAAGATTTGGGTGGTATAAATGTAAAAAAATAAAATTTTAGTGTTAGATTTGTAAAAACATAAGAAGTGGGTGGTTTGTATGCACTTGTCCCATTTCCTCACAAGTTAAGTCTGTTAACATTTATACTTGGCTTCCCTTTCAGCTGTGGCTCTAATCTGTAATCTTATCTGATTGAATAAGCTGGATGATTCAACATTGTGCCTTGTGCCATAGATTTTACATGTAATTGATACAAGAGATAAATCATCATTTTTTCCTATTTAGTTTTTGATGTTACATTTAAATGTCATTTCATAATCATCATTGCTTTGCATTTAAAGATAGTGGATTTCTTTTGTTGTGAATAATATATTTGGTTTGATATATGAAATAAATTCATGGAATTAAAATTTTTAAGTGGTCTTCTATAGATTGACCAATCATCTTTGTTTTTTCATATTCTTAAAGAGTGCTTAAATTATTGTGTATAATGATGAACTTTGATAAATATTTACTTTCTATGTTACATATTGTAATTAAGAGTGCAATTTTATGATTTAAGCCATATAAATGTTGGAAGCAAAAATGAAAGAATTAGGAGGAGAATGAACTTAAGTTTAATCATTGATATGTCTCACCTAATTTTGGTGCCTTTATATTTAACTTAGTATTCTACATTCCAATAGATATGTCACAAGAATTTTACGTTATCAAGCATGAATTTCGATGCATATTAAATAAGACAATTTTGATATACAAATTCAAGATCATATGTGTTTGGATTTCAATAGCTTCATAGTCAAATTGAACATCTCGACAATATGAATTTAACAACACTAAAAATGATTTTATTCAAAACCCAAATGAACCAAAATCAAGCACTTGAAGTATAATGAGAAGACTTGAAGCATCAAGCATAGGATTAAAATGACCTCGAATGTTTCGTTGTTTTATTTAAATCAAGTTACTTAACGAGGGGAATCTAATGAGTCTATGATCATTCAATTCTAAGGTCATTAATACACTTAAGATGTTAAGAGAATAATTTATAATCAAATGAATTATTACAGGTCGTCTAATGGAGTGTTTTGGAATTTTTGATAAATTTACCAAAGTGTCAATTCCAAAAATCTATAAATATGACTCATTTTGAACATAAAGGACATGTTCTACACTCTTGAGGAAAGTTTGAAGTTAAAAGCCACTAATAAACATCGCCAACAACCACTAGGTTTTGTAGCCCAACTACTATCTTATGACAGTTAATCAAAAAATTAAATTATGTACATAATTTAAATTTTATAATTCATGATTTTGACTTGGCAAATAGTTTTTTCTTTTTTAGAAAATTTTCAAGTCAAAAATTAAATTATGTGTAGTGCTAACAAACTATAATGAACTAAAGAGATTAGATTAATGCTTCATTTGAGAATACTAATCTTCCGTTCGGTTGGAGCGAACGCCGAAGCCTAGAAATTTTTTTCTTTGGTGAAATAGTTGAAGAGGAATGCCTCCTAAAGCTCAATCACAAAAACAACAAAATTTCCTTCTTTCAAATCACAGCTAGTCTCTTCTAGTTCGACGAATGCAACTTTTAAAAGAAATTGGCTGAACGGTGACACTATTTCAAATGAAGCTTAAATCGTGTTGCACGCATAACTCTTCTTGTCCAAATAAAAAATCAAAAACGGTAAGATTATTCCATAGAAGACATCTTGTAACTGTGGAACTGTTCCAAAGATGACATTTTGTAAGAAAGAAAATAAATTTTTTTTTTAGGTGTGATCATATTACATTTGATAGTATGAATTACATTTGTTTGAAAAAATTGTAATATTTTGAATTAATTTTTTTTTCTTTTCTTCTATTGAATAATGTGGATGAAGATTATTGCAGATGCATGTAAGCTGTATATTTGTTGTGCTCATTAGTTCTCTGGTAATGTAGATATCAAACTTTGGGTGTTGGATATGTAAAATACATAAGAATTGTTGGGTATGTATGTAAAAGTCCCTTTTTTTTATTTTGTTTAGGCTGAAACTAGATTAGAGCTGTGCATGGAATGTTTTACTCTAGTGTTCTTTTATTGAGGTTTGTAGTAGGGAAGATGGGTGAAGAGGAAGAGTTGATGGGAAACGTGTGTTTTGTCCAAGTAGTAAATATTGTTGATGGGTAACCTTTGCTGGCTGTATTTATTGTTTAGCTCTCGGACTAATAGTTGAGAGTTTAGGCCGTCGATTAATAATGTTGAATCTTAATCTCTCCATGAATCATAATTAAGAAATAAAGCATAAGACAGATGAAAAAGAGAGGGAGAGAGAGAGATGCAAAGCAATGAATAATAATTAATTGTTGATTAACTATTCTCATAAAATAATTTTCTTATGTATAGAGGAAGGGGTACAACATATGAAATTACATGTTTGTCTTACTTAAATTTGGGCGCTACAAGATACTTTAAGTATTTTACATGTATGTGTCCATGGCACAGCTATCCTTTGACTTGATTAGCTGAAATTAGTGAGCCTTGGTTTGACAATATTTGCTCGTCCAACTACGTTGAACCGAGGTTGTTGGTTAGCCTTTGATGGTTTCGGGCCGGCATGACTCAACTCGAGCGGCTTGGCTTTATCACTTGGTTGTTCTAGTATGAATGTAGACTATTAATCTTTGGATGAGGAGCTCTCGCCAGCAGAACAAGACTAGATTGTCAGATAGATGGTGAATCACCGTAATTCGATAGATAACTCATTTTTTTGATGAGGAACTCCTTTGTGATGCTCGTGGAAAATCTGATAAATAACTCATTATTTGATGAGTGGGTGCTTTGAGATGCTCGCAGATTATGTTATTGTTAATTTTTAGCTCTTTATGAGGAATCTCACGATGGCTGGTGATGTTGAACTCTTCCCTAGATTCGTTTTGTGGAGATAGACAAATTGATGCCCCTAAGTCCTTAGTTCAAGTGTTTTACTCCTAGTTGGCCTCCAACTTTGGGTTTAGGGGTTGCATCAGGTCAAGTGTGTTATTTTATCTTTCGTTAGTGGGCCCTCCCTAGTTGTATTTTTCTATCTTTTAGTTTGTTGGTTCTTCTCGAGATTCGTTCTAGTGCATTCCTGATGTACAAATAAAAAGTTAAACATTAGGTTCTTGTACACGTGTATTTGTAATTAAATTCGCTCATACTTATAGGCGAGAGTTTAGGCTGTCGATTAATAAAATAAACATTTGTATTTCATTTACTCTGCATATTATTAGGATCATTCACATGAAGAATTAGATATGTAATTTGAATCTAATGCTTTTGCTCACAAATTTATGCCTTTATAGCTATCTCTCATGGCCTTTATTATTGTTTGTTTGATCCATGCTAATAACATACAACCCAATTCCTATCTGTTTACCTGAAATTTTACTTTTTTTTTTAATTTTACACCACCTATAATTTTCACATAAAATAAAATATAATATCATTTTAACTTAAAAAAAAAAAGTGAAATAAATACCTAGGAATTGAGCGGCATGCATGCAAATTTTCTTTATTAGTATTATTTTTTTTATGCAACTCTGGAAGCCATGTCCTTTATTTTCCAGTCTTGTTGTCCAGAGTATTGCTTGCAACCAATCAGCTTGTCATCTTATTTTTGCCGGTTATTTTAGGTTATTGGTAGAGCACTGACTTTTAGCCAAAAAAATTGAAATTAAATTTGCTTGTGCGGTGAATTATGTGTTCGTTAAATTTTGTTGAATAATATATATATATGTGCTAGAAAATTTGCGGCGGTAGAGTAACGGACTATCGTCTTAGCGTTGTATAAAAGTTCAGCCCAAACATAGTTGAAAAACAAGCGGTGATGACTCCATAAGTTTTTACGTGGAAAACCCGTAAGAGAAAAACCACGGGACCTGACCCACGGGACCTGACCCACCACGGGACCTGACCCAGTTGCGAAAATCCACTATTGATTGATGATTACAGAAATCTCTTGTCCCACTGGCAGGAAAGGGTAACTATATCTTTCATATTACAATGTAAACTGATGGTGTCTGGTTAGTGGTGATCGATGGTGGTTAGTAGTGGTCAACGACGGTCGGCGGTGGTCGATGACGGCCGTCGGAGGTCAGTGTTGGTCGTCGGCAGTCTGCGGTGGTTGCTGCAGTTGACGACGGAGGTCGGCGGTGGTTGACGACAGTCGGCGGTGATGTTGAGCTCTCCCTCTAAAATTCTGCTCCCCAATGCCTCAGGCTCTCCCTCTAGAATTCTGCTCCCCCTCATGTGAGGGATGGGGGTCTATTTATAGTATTTTGGGTGCAATTAATGCAGGAATATCAATTATTTTGATCGGACGGTCCAAAAAGTTTCCTTCGATCATGCGACGTTTAATTGACATTTGAGTGCTTTAACGATGTCGGAATTGAGTGATCTTGGGCTCGTTGGATTTGTCTTGTCGTGACGCTCGATTCGAATATAAGCTTGCTAGTGTTGATACATGTTTGATTTTCCAAATGTGTCTGGAAATCTTCTAAGAGTGGTTTAATGACTTGATCTCGGCATGATTTAACTCAGATTGGAATGATTTTGATATAATTAGTTCCGTCTCATCGAGTCGATTTGTTTGACTATAAGTTTGCTGAAATCGGAGCACAAGGAAATCGGTATTTGGGCATCTGTCAAATATTAATTTCCTTTATATATATATATATATATAAGTGTATGGAAAACACACTCAAAGAATGAAATATGTTGTTAAGAAGTAACTAGGTTAGAGAGCGAGAGAGAGGGAGAGCAGTAGTAGAC